CCCCCCCCCCCCCCGCTGTAGTTACGCCCCTGTATACAAACTGCAGTGCATGTAGGCAATGCAACGCATATCTCATCCTTGTTTCTGCAATCAACCGATACAAATGTGTCTGCACTTTGAGTGGTGTGTACGGCACCACTTTATCCATAACTCATAAGGTGATCAATCGTATAAATGTTGATCTGTTCCGGAACGCATATTGGCCTGGGGCCGGTTGTATAAAAAAGTGATTAAAGTTAACTATAGTTAGTGGAAACGTCATAGAAGAAGCGCGTATTGAGAGTTAATCACTATTTAACTACAAAATGTGATTAAAAAAGTGATTAAGAGTTTTATACAACTGGCCCGCCTGAAATTATTTTGACGAGGCTTTGTGTTCAGGTTATGTCAGGGCTAGCTAAATCAGTCATTAAGAACAAAAATAGTAAAATGCCAACGGCATTCCTAAATCTACAGAATAACACTTGACCGTTATAAAAATCTACAGAATAACACTTGACCGTTATAAAATAACCCCCGCCACAGAGACTCAGAGTATATATATAGAGGGACCCCTATACCTCTTCACAATATGCTTTCACGTAAAAATATTTTGCCTTTTCGCGAGTCACGGATTAAGAAAATCATCGATCACGTTTCACGGCTAAGTAAAATAAGCCCTTCACGCTTCACGCAAAAAGTATAGAGGGCCCGATCACGTTTCACGGCTAAGTAAAATAAGCCCTTCACGCTTCACGCAAAAAGTATAGGGGGCCCTCTATATAGTGATCAAGAAGATTTCACTTTTGGTGCAGTCCGAACTTACTTAGTTCTGAAGTTGAGCGTATAGACCTCATCTTGTTCAGATATATTAATTAACATGTGTTACAAAATTTCTTATATTTATCTTCTCACATAATACTAAATTACTAACAGACTGGGTGTTTAATTTTTATGCAAGCGAAAAAAAATGGCAATTCAGTGCAATACAGTGACTTTATTTAAAATCAAGCTTTTGTTGCTAGGTAACTGATTTTAAAATTTAAAAGAGAGGAGTCAGAGGAAACATCATGTTGATAACCAGATGATCTTGATACGCGGAAATGTACTGGCACTAGTTGTCAAATAGAAATCCATTTTATGAATAAAACAACTGAATATCTCCTGTAATATACTTTATTTCGATTCCATATTTTGTCAGAGCTATAGTTCTCATAACCAAACATAATTACAAAATTTCAACTAGTTTCATAAAGAATAACGAAAGATATAATTGACTGAATACATCAAAATGGATTTCTATTCGGACAACCCTCTCTGAGCGCTGATTGGCTAAAATACGAACACGAGATCACCTGGAACCAATCTCGTACCCAGAGCAATGCCTGTGCGCGGGCTAGGATGGCATTGGCTCTGGGGAAATTGAATTTTTCCTGTGCTGTGATTGGTTTAACGTTTGTCAATCTTGCATGCCGACAAAGAACCGGAACCCCTAAATTTAGGGGTTCCGGTTATCCGATTTCCCCAGAGCCAATGCCTTCCTAACCCGCGCATAGGCGTTGCTCTGGGTACGAGATTGGTTGATAACAGAAATTGAACCGGCGATTTCGACATTGTTAGGGG